AAGGAGAATGGATCATAGCTGTTGGATCATATGTCTTAAATATCCTCTACTCTTTGACAGAATGATCATGATGGTCAAGAAAACAAACTTTACTGACATCAGTCAGCTGTTGCTCATCAGTCTACATGCGTTGAGCTGTGGGGGCCAATAGGGGCCATGCAGTAGGTAGGTAGTTGTCACTACCTGGCTAGCTTGCTTAAACAGAGCAGACCCACTCTGACATCTCTCCACCAACGCATGTCCACAGGTCCTGTTTGTGCATGTGTGTGATTTCGGGCCTATATGTGTGTGAGAAGCACACCTAAATAACAGAGTTGAAACCCCAATTTCCACTCGGAGATTAATAAAGTATATCAAAATAAAAATAAAAATGTATTCTGCTGCCGAAAATGGACGAAAAAGTCAGAAAGTAGTCCAGATATATTCAAAAGGATTTCCTTTGTATTCTATCTTCTGACCAGGCCGTATTGGGTCATAATGTATCTATCCTGAAGCTAACTGGTTTCTACAAAGACAGTATTTGATGTTTGAAACTGTTAGCAGCTCATTTTGATTTCATGCTCCCTCCCGCTTGTCTGTTTCTCTCTAATTGTCGACATGTTAAACGCACGCTCAGGAGAGCCGTGTTTTCGTGTGTCTGAGATTCTGAGTGTTGAATTTGGGCACACCGGGTCTACTCCATCTGTTGGACGGTGTGTGTGTGTGTGTGTGTGTGTGTGTGTGTGTGTGTGTGTGTGTGTTTGGTCTTTGAAGTGGCACAGATTGCTTTAACCTCTCTTCTAAGGGAGAGCAGCTGGAATAGAGAGCTCCTTTAAACAGCCGCTTCCTCCTCCGACAGTCATGAGATTATCCTCCATTGATGCACAAAGACAGAGGCTTTCCTTGACCCCCCCCCCCCCCCCCCAGGCCCTCCACAAACACTCAGTGATGACTTTTGACCCATAATGCAGAGATGTGATGCAGAGTCACATCAGATGAGTTAAAGTGAAGACATCCTGAGCGTCCTCTGCTTCAGTCAGCTGTCTGCTCACATCCTTCATGTTTCCTCTCCGCTTCCGTCGTCACTAATTGTCGTGTATTCAATCAGGCGCCAGTTAAAAGGAGTTAAGGTAACATCATTAAGGCTGGTCAGAGAGAGATGGGTGTGTGTAATGTGTTTAGGAGACTGAAGCTTGAAGGGGAGATCTGTGCAGAGGATCTGCACAAACACCTGGACTCTGCTGGATTGAGAAGGATCCGTCAGTGCCAGGGCGATGTGGGGTCTTTATTTAACTCATACTGGTGTTGGGTGGGCTGTTGGTCTTATGACAGAGGAGCAGGGATGAACAAGGAGTGTGTGTGTGTGTGTGTGTGTGTGTGTGTGTGTGTGTGTGTGTGTGTGTGTGTGTGTGTGTGTGTGTGTGTGTGTGTGTGTGTGTGTGTGTGTGTGTGTGTGTGTGTGTGTGTGTGTGTGTGTGTGTGTGTGTGTGTGTGTGTGTGTGTGTGTGTGTGTGTGTGTGTGTGTGTAGCTGGATGAGGGGGATGAGCTGCAATCAATCGGGTGCAATCAACCGCCTCCGACCGCTCTGACGCTCTGATTGGTCGGTCAATAAACTTGTGAATTGATCAATCAGCCACATGTCATCGTCCAACAAGATACAGAAAGACATGGTCACATGAGAGTTGATCTGCTGCCCGGCAACGTTTTGATGCTAGACCTTCATCAGGCAAACAGATGTGCCAAAGTTTTTTTCTATATTGAAATCTTTTCTAAATGAAAAAAGCAGGAAAAAAACATAAATCTTGCCATTAAAAAAAAAAAAAACATTTGCTGAAGAAACTCAGAAAAAAACATTGAACAAAAATCCCTCCAGAGCGCAGAAAAAAGGAAATATTTGTTTGCACTCCAGACATTACTTGAACTATGAGCTTTGTCGTTTTTTTATGTTTTTATTTATTAATGAGAAAGAGGTTCAAGAGGTAAGGTACCAACATGGGGTGCCGGTGGCCTAATGGTTAGAGTAAGCACCCCATGTACAGAGGCTGAAGCCCTCCAAGTGGGCGACCCGGCTTCGAATCTGACCTGTGGTTCCGTTCCTGCACATCATTCCTCTCTCTCTCTCTCTCTCCCTGGTTTCTGACTCTATCCACTGACCTGTCTCTAAATTAAAGCACAAAAACAAACCTTTAATGAAAAAAGAAGTACAGTGCCAACATGGGTATATATCTGTGTTATGAGGTCATTTCTTAAAAGGACGACATGATGACATGAAGGATGGGAGCCTTCACGTTTTACAGAAAAAAAGAATAAATATTAGGAGTATTTATTTTACTTTAGATTAATTTTTAAACAAAAAGATCGTCCCTCAGCTGCTCTCAAAGACCGATCGAAGGTTTACTAAATTATCTTTTTTAACTGTCTTGTAATCTGCAGAATTTAAAATCCACAGGTATGCTGATAAGTTCCCCTGAAGCTGAAATAAAGTGAACTTCACTGAGGATGTAATTGTTTGGGGAAAAGACATTTGTCCCTCGAGAAAAGGAAGCATAAGCTATTTCTTTTCTCTAATTGAACTTTCCCTGCAGAGACGCTCTCGGCACTGAAGTAAATGTTCACATGAGAAAAAACCTCTGGTTCAATTATCTCGCTGAGAATGAAGTCATCGCCTTCTCCTCCCGGCTGTACGCTCGTCTGTCTGCTCGACTCTACCGTCTTATGTATGAGTACTACTTCTGGATGTAGACGAGGTCATTGTCCTGTAGTGTCATCAATAATCGAACATGAATCGACGGGCTTTTCGTTCATTGATGCTCGTCGTGTCAGTGAGCTGGGCGAGCTCCTGGTGGGCGTTTCTGCTTCACTGGCTTTTGGATTTGCAAAGTTGAGGGCTGTATCGGAAAAAATACAAAACCCCGATTCACCTGGTATCCAAAAATATCGAGGTAAATTTGAAGAAGATATTTGTTAAGCTTTAAAAACTTCACAGGAGTTTTTTATAAGAGGTTTTAGTTCCATCAGTTTTATCTGAAATTTAAATGAAAATCCACAAAACAGAAAAATAAGGCCATGACTGTTGCCGCCTTCATTAATCAAAAGTGCAGAAAGTGACTCTCTGTGGTTGTGGCTACAATGACTTTTTGACAGGGAAAGTATCTCTTGCCCTTCTCACTAGCTCCTTCTTTGGCCTATTCATTGCACAAAGCTGCTTAAGCGCACTTAAGCGCATTAGCATTTGGCTGCCAGGGGACCATATTGACCCTGCATTTGGATGGCCTAAATGAGTGAAAGATGGAGCGATTTGTTAGGGCTTTAGAAAGTTGCTTCTGGAGCAGGGGAGGAGGGAGGAGAGGGGAGGGAGGGGGGTGTGCATGAAGGAATGGGGGGTGAGACACAGAGGAGGGTGGGGTGGGGGGGGGGGTGTTGCAGCAGAGAGTTGTTCCACTTTCTCTCAGGGCTCGGTGTTTGTTCTAATCTGCTGTGCCGTTTCTTCGGACTGATTTGTGACATTTCAGTCTAAAGGGCCTTTTTCTGCTCGCTATATTGGCTTGACCCGATTATCTAATCTGTGCTTTGAATTTCAATCAGCTCAGCCGCTCTCTCTGTGCCGTGTGGGATGGGAACCGCTGGCTGAGGGATTACCTCATTCAACTGTCTTCAAACACAGATGGTCGAATGTTTAACTAATTGTTAAAAGAGTCCACAAAGGGGAATTTAACCATGCACACAGTCCGTGGGGTCAGTACATAGAGGCAGATAAAGAGGAGAGACAGTGCTTTAAAAATCATTCAGATGCAGTGCAGGGCATGCTGTTTGTTACAGCTGCTGTCAGAGATGGAAATCAAAGCATTGGAAACTAAAGGGACAAAATTAACGAGCTCCTGAATAAGCTTCTGTGTTAACAAAGTAAAATAAATTAATATTTATCATGAAATGGTTTCTTGGGGTGACGGTATGGCGTCATGGTTAGTGCGCGCACCCCATGCAGGGAGGCTGTGGTCCTCCAGGCGGGCAGCCCGGATTAGAATCTGACCTGTGGCTACTTCTCCCATATCATTTCCTCTCTTCCATACTCTTTGGAAACACTATCTCTGTATTTAAGAGATGTAAATAAACACCTGAAACAACTGACTGTTAAACAAGTCATTTAAGCCTTGGTCTTGTCACACATTCATTTTTGGTTCAGTAGTTTGGTCCAATACTTGATTAGGTACTATCAGGAAAATGCAAGTGGTCCAGATTCAGAATAAAGCAGCATTTGTCGCTCTTTCTTGTGGGTTTAGGACAAATGTGGGTAAAATGGACATATGTCTTTCTTTGTTGGACGTGAAAAGTAGACTATAGTACCTTCTTATTGTTTTAATTAGGACTGTCATCTATCTTTTAGGAAAAATTGTCCTTTCGTTCACATACACACATCTATCTCACCAGGAACTCTACTACTACTGGAGGCCGTTTCATTTGACCAAAATCCAACATATCAGTTCAACGCACTGTAAAGTACAGTGAATGAAAGACTGGAACGCCATCCCTAACTCTGTGACTAAACACACAAATATTTGTAATTTCAAAATGAAGCGTGTGTTTAAAGAGGAGTTTCAAGAGTGCAGGTGGATGGATAGGAGTGTGTCGGTTTTTGTGTATATATTTATTAATGAATGTTTTACTGTGTTGTGATTAAGTTGCTGTATTGTTGTTGTTTGTTCTGTGATGTTGTGTGTATTGTTGTGTTGTTATTTTGGAGATCATGTTGACTCAAGGAAGAATAGCTGCTGCTATGCAAAACCTAAAGGGATCTAAAACAAACAAACAATCTCTCTGAGTCTCTCCACTGTCCTATCTCTAAATAAAGGCATAAAAAGCCCAAAAATAAACCTTAAGTAATCAAACTTTCCATCAAACTAACTTTCCATTTTTCATGTACCTCTAAATGTATTTCCTCCATGCTTGCTCATCCTCTCTCTCTCTCTCTCTCTCTCTCTCTCTCTCTCTCTCCCGCTCTCTCTCTCCCTCCCTCCTGCAGACGCTCTGCTCCGCGGCCACCATGCAGACGGTCCGGGCTGCAGACACCAACGAAGTTGACAAGCTAATATTCCGGGAGAGTGATAATGACCGAAAGGTAAAACTCACTGCACAAATCCTACTAACTGGATGTCAACCCCCATTGTTATACCAACATCATAACAACATAAAAGTTCAATGAAGAGGTTGTTTTTGTCTTAGCTGTTAATGTGAGTATTTTAAACCTGGGTCCTGTTCTAACATGATGCAGTCCAAGGACACACTCACACTTGGCCCAGTTGTACCGCACGATTGTCCCGCCTCCCCAAACCTCCGCTGGCCTGCACTTACACTGCTCCAGGACTAACCGGGCCTCAGCATACGTCGTAATACAACACATGCATGCCTTTATGTAATTATGAAGCACGCTCAGTTTACAAGACAGGCAGACTGGCGGTCTAGTCTGCACATCAGAGAACAACACAGAGAACATGACGGCTACTTTACTGACTTTGTGTCTTATTTTAAAAACATCATTTATTTAGATTTATTAATAATGTTTTTAATTTTCATGTATAACAAATTTTATCTTAAGAAGGTTTAAGTTTGATAAATGCACGTGATGCAGATGTTGTAAAATCAATTAATAGTTTTGTTTTAATAATCCTGATTTTTCATCCTCCTCATATTCGCCTGGTCTTGAAGTTTCTCTGGTTGTGTTAACATGCTGTTTGAAGTGTTGTAGTAATAGAGAGCCCGTCTGCCCCCACATAACGCTACTGTTCATTAAAGCTCTAATTACACCGAGCACTTCACATCGCTGTTGGTATTAATCAGAGCGCCGTTTCTCCCGCAGGTTGTTCTTCAACTGGAAAAGAAGATGTTTAGTTACGTCAACCAGGACGTTTTCCGGGAAAACAATGGGACCTCAGTAAGTCGACCTTCTGCTCCCTCATTCTGAGTCTTTCTTTCACTTATTCATCCTACGAGGAGTTTACAGTGAACTGTCTTTGTCCCTCGGTGGTATCAAAAGCTTCCACTAACATCATTTCAGATGAGGAAGGCTCATCAGAAGAGGTGGTGTAATGTCTAAAAAGCTCATGTAGCTTCTCATGCAGATGATTTAGGTGATTCTCTTACATCGCCTTCAGCCTGACACGCTCTGTGTTTGTCTCGCCGACGGGCCCAACGTCTTAAGATCACTTTAAAATGAGAGGAGATGATGTGAGAGTCCTCTTTTATAAGTCTGTTTATTACATTCAAGTGTTCAAAGTCAGAGCTTGTTAAAAAAACAAACAACCTCATGAAGGATACACACACACACACACACACACACACACACACACACACACACACACAAAACAGGACTGTGCAGCAGCTTGTGCCATCAGACTGGAAGCTTAAACTTTTATTTGTTAACTAATTTATGATTATTAAAATATATATCTTAATGATCTTTTGATGGATTCAAACCTGACAGATGTGTAAATGTGTACGTCAGACCAACATTAATGTTGATATAGTTGTTTTTATGGAGCTTTAGTTTATAATGAAACAGGTTAGTGTATTGTGTTTATACGTTATTTTCAGAACGCTCATTAATGCATTAAAGGTACAGTATGTAGATTCTGCCACCAGGGGGCTCTGAATCAATACTACAATAACCAAAGATGACGACGAGAAACCAAACTCCGAGAATAAACATTCTGTCTGTCATGGCAGCTGCCGCGACAAGACACATCCCTTTACAACTTCAAAATTAAAGACGTTTAGTACAAGATGTGTTCTACACGTTTTTTCAGGGGGGGGGGGGGTCCTAGTGATTATATGTCACACACCCCATGTTCAGAGGCTGTAGTCCTAGTCGCAGTGCCATGGGTTCAAATCCGACTTCTCCGGTTCTTTGCTGCCTGTCATCCCCACTCTCTCCTCCCAACGTTTCCTCTCTCTTTAAGCTGTCCAATCTAATAAATGCAAAAAAACGGTGGACGAAGCGACAGGTCCACTATACGACGCCATAATGAGAACATCTGTCTTTATATAAATGCTTCGTGTATTATACTGTCGAGATAATCAATGAATCCGATCAGCCTAAATGTGGAGAAAATGTGTAACAGAAGCTGATGTTCCCCCCCAGATATCCTCCTCCCTCTCCCCCTTTCCTCCCCCCCCCTCCCTCTCCTCCTCATCGCCGAGCCAGACAAGATGGACGACATAATGGGGGCATCAGAGATAATCTGATGGTCATGGTCTAGTTAAACACACCATGTTATGATCCTTATAAAACAAACTACCTTTCCAAAAGGATGAATGTCCCTCCTCACCCTCCTCCACCGGGAGAGAGAGAGGGGAGAAAAAAAATCCATCGCATCCTTCATCAACTGCAAGACTTGTACCGGCTTGACAGAAATTTAATTCGAGGCAGCTCTTGAAAATAATTATTGTATTTTGAGAGGAGTAATCATTGGCCGGGACATGATTGAATGTGTCCATGCCTATTGACTTTTGCTATGATTAATAGCTTTGTTTAGTCGATATTCCCATCGAAATTGTATAATTAATTATCCCCGGTGCTGTCACGGCGGGACGATGGAGAGCCCTGATGACTATTTGGGAAGATTAAATTTTCCGGGCACTCGTGGCGTCAAGGGGCACCGCGGGGCCTTGCTCCGGTGGAGGGATGGGAGGAGCATGGTGCGTGTGTGTGCGTGTGTGTGTGTGTGTGTGTGTGTGTGTGTGTGGATGCATGTGTCCTGTGTGTCTGTAGTGGAGCACACACCCGGGGGGGGGCGTCCCCCTCCTCCGTCCCCCTCCTCCGTCCCCCTCCTCCGTCCACATTGATTTTGTTTCAGTATCTCTTTATTGTAACTTTATCAGTGTGGTGTCGGCAGATAGGGGAGCGGGAGGCGGGTGTGTGTTTGTGTACTCGCTGTAGTCAGTGATGAACCTTCCTGTCTGGCCCTGCTGCTCGTTGTCATGCCGGGAGCGTCGCCCGCAGCATTACTCAGAGGCGCAGAGACGTTTTAAACATGAGCGGACGTTAAAGAATAAAGAAGAAATGTCGTCCAGACTCAAGTTTGTTTATATTTTACCTGTCAGAGCTTTAAGAGGCAACACAGATGAAATACTGAATGAATTCTGACCTTTATTCAAACGGATGGAGTATTGAGTCCCTGGCTGTCTCTTTGTTTAGCTCGCCTCTGTTTTAAAAAGGGATGCTCTTAGTCGACTTATTTCCTGGTCAGTTAAATTTTAATTTTAATTCAGACTAACTTTCTAATCTAAATTTTACAAACTCTCAGAAAACAGTCAAAATTGAGCACAAGTTACTTAAAACTCTCTGCGGTTAAATACTGTAATTTGGATTTTCCTCCCTGCAGCTAAACATCCACATGCTGGTTACTCAACTCTCCCATCAAGTTTAACCTGAAACAGCCTACATACGACTTCATCTCCGTTTCTTGATCAGAATACTGACAAACCTGCTGCTCTTACGAGATGCTATCCGTTCTCTGTGCTTGTTTACATCTGGGTAGTAGAGCAGGAAGAGAAGGCTCTTTAACCAGAGCTACAGCCAGTCAATGGTTACAGCACCAACTAGTGGTGGGTGGCTGCGTTGCAGTTTGGAGACAACATTTGCAAGACATTGACAGCGAGATATTAACAATTCCTTTTATTTTTAAGAGTAGTAATTGTGGTGCCGACTAGCAGGAGGGATGACGTTTAACGGTTTAGTCGACCAAACGCACATCCCTAGTTTTAAATTGTTGTACAGAAGGCTTTATTAACTGTGATATGATCAGGGGCAACAGTTTCCACTGAGTCGGTGGAGCAGGTGCGACAGGATGCATCCGTCACAGGTTTGTCTCCAGGCGTTTGCTGCATGTCTACCTCCAGTGACTCATGTGTTAGGGTTTGTTACGTTTCCTCTCGCTGTTCCTCCTCGTCTCTCGTGGTCCTGTTCACACAGCAACTCAGGAAACTGATTTGTCAACAGGGCTGTCAATCATGTCACGATACTACTTTTTATAGCATTAAAACTGAACTTAGAACGAGAAAACTCTTGGGCATGAATCAGTTTGTAAAAACTAACTATAATGGCAGGAAAAAGTATTTGTTGTATATTTAGATTTTCCATTTTGACCAATCTGTTGACATGGAGGGGGCGGGGTTTATAGCCAGACGGTCAGCAGGGGGAGCTGTAAATGTTTTGGCATCCGTTTTTTGGGGAGATGACATGAATCATCTTTTATGGTCAAACTTAAAGATAGAGTTAGAAGTTTTTCCTAAAAAATGAAATATAGATTTATACTAAGTCAAGTTGCTCAGTCATCCCTTATGGGCCTCCAAACATGTTTGGTGGTTTGGCGGTGAGCTGGTGTGTTTCTTCCAGCCAATGACAGTGCAGGTGAGTTTAGGAGTGGACGTAGCGGCAAAGCAAAGAAAATATAAACTTTGTGAAGCGAAACACAGAGTGAATAAAAACGAGGGTGAACCTTGTGTCAGCTTTCTCTTGCAGACATGGAGTTGGTCTTCTTCCTGTTGGACAGGCAGGTGCAAAACACCAGCGGTTAGCTTGTGTTAGCGTGCGTTAGCTTGCAGTGTAGGTACAAGCAGTAAACCCACACTCAACGTCCTGCAGTGAGTGTTGGTTTCTGGGGGCGATGAGATTGCTAACACTGAGCCCTGCACATGCAGAACTGACAGTAGAGCCTGATCATCATATTTTGAAGGGCATAGATCCTGACCAAGCTTTTGCACTTTATATTTGTGGATTGGAGTTCTTTTCCCCCAATAATCGGCTAGTGTTGTTAACCATGCTCTTCAGAATTGAGAAAAAAATGAAAAGGTGCCATTTTTTTTTTTTAAGCCGGTCTAGTTTAATTTTCAACCTCTTTTGTGATTGTATCAAATGTAACTCCTTGTCTAATCACTTTTATCTATTCATTATTAATTGAGAAGTGACGCTTGAAAGTGCAGTGTGCTTCAGTTGTGTTTTGTTTGGTGTTTGCCCCTCTCTAACCCATCGACCTCACCCCCCCTCCCCCCTGTCAGTGACAGTTTATTGCTTTTCCACACAAAATAATGAAGATCTCATAAAAAGCAGGAAAAATATGGCCCCTGCAATGAAAGCCAAGTGTGAGGTGTAAAAATCAAATTAAATGACCTCTCACCCCAACATTTATTGATGGTTTTTAATGGCAGCAGGTGTTGTCACAGGGGATACTCGACAACGCGTAAATCAAAGCACAATTACAGGTGGTGGACACTCAGCCGGCACAGTGAGAGGGGGGACAAGGACCTCGTATTCACTTTTTTTGTCCCCCTAAACTTCCTGCCTCTTAACCCCCCTTCCCCCTCTGATTTAAGAGAGCGCTGATCATCCAAGCAGAGTCAGAAATGTGAGCCATGACAGGCTCGTTTTTACCCAGATACCTCTTCATCTTCACTCCTCCTCCTCCTCCTCCTTCCTCAAGGTCACTCCTGGCTGACAAACACCTCGTGGTGTTATGATGTCCCGAGGCCTTGAACCAATAGAATCTGTGTTTTTGTTTTTTTTTAAAGCACTGACCTGAGCTCAGCGGCAGAACGATATGCGTAATTGACCTGAGATGAAATGTAGCGTGAAACCTGGTAGCTGTGGGGTTTTTCACTCACCTGGATGAATTACTCAACACTCACTTAAGAACACACACACAGCCATATGTTGCTCATCCCTGCTGTTTAAACAAACAGCTTCACACCTGTGAAAAGCTTACGCATGCTCACCTGAAGCAAATTACCCGTCACTGATTTGAAGAATCACCAGGAGTATTGCTAAATATACGCTAACACACTTTTTAACGCACCATTTGTTGAACGTTCTCCATTTCCCTTCAAGCTCGACCGATCAATCAGCCGGACAGATATACAGTATACTCTGATATGAGCCCACTGAGGATGAGAGGGTGTTAGTGTTTATGAGGACTTGTTAGTAAAATACTCTGAACAGGAAGGCTTGAACGTGTTTAACTTAGATTAGATGTAATGCCAACATTTCAAAGTTTTCTTAAAGTTGCACAATGAAGGTTTGATAGAGAAATGGGAAAGTTGGAGAAGTGTACAGATCCTGTGGTATATGTTCATTACTCTATACACAGACTGTCCTCAGAGGAACATTTGGTCTCTGTTACACTGTTTAAAGATAAAATGCTATGTGTGAAGTTATGGTGGGGGGTCCGCAACAGAGAAAACATAACTCTCCTGGTCGCTTTTTAACTGCTTTTAACTTCCATTGTCCAGGGAGCCATTTTTTCATTTGAATAAAGTTTGTGCATTCAGTTCAGAAAATATAGCAGAGAATTATTTCAATTCTCCAACTTTTAAATTTCACTACCAAATATCTACATAGTGCACCTTAATTTCTAGAAATTGTCCCTCTTATGACAAACTGTGGCAATAATTCTTAAAATAAATATTTTGATTATTACAAAATGTGTCTGAGTAGGCTCTCAGTCATCCAGGTCATGGTAAAGTTTGAGGCTTGATCCAAAGGCACCTGGACTCTATAGTCCTCCAGAGTCTGTACTTTGAGTGTCTCATCAACGGTGAGGGATAGAAGACAGTTGCTATGCAGAATTGGTCAATCAGAATCAAGTATTTAACACACCAGTGTAATACATGTAATAACTGAATGAACAGTAAGAGTTTAACAATTACTCTATTCAAGCAAAGACAGAGATTTATCTGCCTCTTCTGTCTTTGTAGGGTAACATTAATGCAAAAAAACAAGGAAAATGTGTTTTGCTATACAGTAAGAAAATGTGAATCTCCTTTTAAAACAATTAGTATTTAAACTAAAATCACATTATTTAATTTAAATCCCAGAAACTTCTACCCCTCTACCCCGAAGTAACTGAATTTTGAAGATGCATTGAAAAATCGGGTGAGAAGTTTTGACTGGGAAGTGAGAAGTTGAGTTTTAACCTGCTAAACTAAACGCCATTAGCTTGAATTTGCATTAAATACAGGTTTTCTTTTCAAATGAACTCTTAGATGGGTTTGAACTCAGACTCTATTTGCTGCAAAGAACCAGTCTCAGTGAAGCTTTCACACACACACACACACACACACACACACACACACACGCTCACTGGAGGATGGTCTGAGTGTGTGGATGGTGAGACGGGGTGTACAGTGGAGCGTGGGGTTGCATCCCCTGCTCAGCCATCCCTCATCCACAGTGTGTGAGTCTCTCCTGTGACCCCGGCTCTGTGAGTTTGATGAATGCAGCACATCTGCCCTCCTGAACCTCTGAGACTCTGTCTGCAATCCCCCATCCCCAACACACACACACACACACACACACACACACACACACACACACACACACACACACACACACACAAGCACGTAATGGCTGCTGTTCTACAGTACTGCCACATAATCACACACACACAACTATGCTGCGTGTATGTGTGTAAGACAGAGTTGTAAGGATAGACAGGCAGACGTGGTCAACATTAACATGTCAGTGGAGATGGAAGACTGTAGTTACTGATATAATAATATTCATAAGACGTCCACTCTGCTTCTCACAAATGCATGCATCTTGTGTTCTGTGCAGATATTCCATCATGTAACCATCAACATATCCTGCATGTATAACACCGATGTAATGTCATTAAACTGTCAGACTCCTAGTGTCTAGGACGGGGTCTTCATCAGGCCATAATTGTCTGAAACATGTACAATAGCCCAATTTACCACCAAACAAACATGTCCCCGCTTCATCTCCACGTCTCCCTGCCTGAAAGCAAAGGGGCGGGACTAGTGCAAGGTCCTCCGGGGGGTTGCCGAGAAACGTCGCTGTCAGTCTCTCAGGGAGGCAGTCATGCAGGTGCCCGAGCTACCTGTTCATCTCACAGATAATTAATGTGTACAAGGAGCCGCTAATTGCACTTCTCACTAATGATTTATGGGTTTTGTGAAAGGGGGGAAATTGGGGGACGTTTGTGTGTACACTGTGGTGAGTGAGTACAGCTGGGTGAGGAGACATGATTGATGAAGAGTGCGTGGATGCACTGTCACTGTGGGGAGAGAGACCCCCAGTAGGACAGTGGCACACACACACACACACGCACACAATAGGTCAACTGCTGTGGAACATGGAAAAACACCCAAGATGGCCTCCTGTTCCTCTCTCCTACACTCTCACTGCCCTCCCTCAGACGAAGGTCTGATGATTGCAGAATATTGACTTTTCAGTTAATCTACAGAGTAACGTCTGCTTTTTAATCCTTTTTTCTTTAAACCTGGGCCTTAAAATAAAAGGTACAAACATTGGAACTGCTTCAGCTGTGAGTAAAAGATTAGGATGCATTTGCTGCTACACCTTGATATCAGATGCATCCACTGAAAGTTGTTGCACACCATTTGTTGCTTTTGGACGCCGTGGTCAACTGGATAACGGTTCTGTAATGTTTTGGAGGTGTCGGCTGTTTGTGCTGCTGTGTGTAAAAGAGCATTCAGGTTTAAATTGGCCTTTACTTTCTCATAAATGTAACAGGCTGGTTATATTCAAACTCTTTACTTACTTGTTGAAACCCTGTTTTTATTTCTTTCCCACAGCTTTTAGAGTACGACAAAGAGCTGTCGGTGTTCAAGGATCGGCTGCATGAACTGGAGATCTCTTTCCCTCCCAGGTACATATTTTATATTACACACATCTTTGTTTGTCTTTGTGTTCACACTCCTGCAGCCAAACACTGCTCTGAGATTTTCTACCTGTCACATGTTTCTGAATTCATATCTGACCCTTGCAGAAATGAAAGCGGGCAGAGTGAACTGGTTCAGATATAACTGATTCTACTCGACCTTAAAAACCTCTGCATGTTTCTAATAAGATGGAGAGAGGCTATAACACAGTAAGGTTAACAGACTGATGCAGAGCTGGCTCCAATGTTTTGAATTTGTACTGCAGTACCCATTTTAAACACTAGGTGCCAGAGTTACATATTGCTCCTTTAAGCCGTTCTTTTGCTAGCCAAAAAAGCATCCCTGTTTTTATTGCAGTTACTTGAATTGTCAATGCTCCTTGCTAACCAAACTAGAACTGATGACTTTGATAACCCTGCTCCTCTTTAGCTCCGCCCTCTCATCCATATATGGTCATCATAGGCTCCAAAAGACAAAAGACACAATGACAACCAAAATTGGTATTTCTGTAGCGTCACCCACCTCTTATTTACAGTCTTTGTAATATCAGCTAACAGCAAGAAAATGACAAATAGATACGACAACATACACAACAAATCCCTGAAGTGGAGGTTCTCCCGTGCACAATGTGTGAGCTGCTCATAAGGACTCATTATTGATATGTAAAACCAGAAGAGTCATCCACCTCCTTATTGTGCAAAATGGTTTAATAAAAGCTGCTGGATGTGTGTTTGATGGCTTTCAGTCGTTAAGTATGCTTGGATATGATCCCAAACTGCTCCCATGTGTGTGTTCCTTCATGTGTGTGTGTCTGTGTGTGTGTGAACGCTTCGGGCTGCATTGATATTCTGTCTCAGTGGGACTTGTGGGAGACCGGAGCGGGTGGTCTCCTCTCCTCTTCTCTCTCCTCTTCCTCAAACAAATGCATTTGCAATTAGCCCTTTCAGAGGAGAGGGAGGGCAAACACGCAGGCCGGCGTGGAAATATGTTTCGGGAGCTGCGCGTTAATGGCGCTTGACCTTTGCCGTCGGTTGTGACTCAATCAGTGCAGATAATGAAACGCTGTAATCAAACAATAATTACTTGATAAACTGCTCATGTGGCAGGCGCAGGGCGGCGGGGGATTTTAGTGTGTGTGTGTGTGAGAGAGGACTGGGGATACATAGAGCGATTAAAGCGTGTGAGTTTGAGACTGTGTGTGTGTGTGTCAAGGTTCTGCTAGTCCCTGTTTTTTAAATGACTCTGTGTCTTAATCAGGGACCCCATTTACATCACTTTGCATAAGTGACAGGTGGATTTATTGTCCTTTTACACCGGCTGACTTTTGCACCTATCCGTATAACACTGAATCATCTCCCCGCAGGGAGGCATGAACGAGCTGCTGCGCGAGAATACAAATGATTCCCACATACTTGAGGTGATGATGAATCAAAGAGATGAAACCCGGGAGCAGCATATGAAATTTGATTTGATCTACTCTGTGTGCGCGACAAACCACATCATTGTCAGCCTTGTAATGGGTAGCAGTGGCCTAGTTAAACTTAAACAACCCCCTCCTCCCACCTCTCTCTCACACACATACATACACACACATACACACACATACACACACATGCACACACACGCACACATGTGTCCTCCCTCCCCCTGTCAGGTCTGCCTTGTGCTCCTTGAGCAATCAAGCCTCAACGATTGTTCTCCATCACATAGCCTGCTCCGGACCAGCCCCTCGCCATCTGTGAGGTTATTACTCTTTTTAATGCAGGCCATCAGGACACGCCCCTCTCTCACACACATGCACGCACACGGCTCACTTTGCCTCAAATCTATAAATCAATAATAGTCACTAACATTTAATCTGCAAGTTAATTCCAGCCTGTTGTCTCCTGGTGGAGAAGGAGCTGTCACTAAATGAGACGAGGACTGTTTTTTCTGTGTTGACTGTTTTACGTCCGCGCACACATGCAGGTTGTTTAAATTCTTCACGTTTTAAAAGCCATATCTCTTTACTTTCAAAAAGTCGTCCATCAGAGTCGGCCGTGACAAGTCTAAGTGCTCGGGCACTGGGGTGAGGAATTTGTCCGGGTCTTGTCACAGTTGGACTTGGAGCCAGGCGGCTGCTGAGGAGAAGCTCATACTCAGGAGGCCGTGTAGGGTTTGTTTCTCAACCAAAGCATCAAAAGAGAACAGATAAGAGAAGCTTCTGTTTGGACACTGACCGACTCAGATCGTTATTCAAGGTGCCTTAATCAATTAAAGAAAATATCCTGACAGAAATGGAGATTTTATCTTGATGTTTGAACCTCTAAATGATGCATTTTAGAGCCTTTTGACTCCATTGACTAAAACAAAGATTTTACCTCGTTAAAATTGAAGTTGCCAGTCTTTTTAGTTGATCATTTAGTTATTTTGTGTCAAGCCAATATTATTTTGGGGCAGAACTTACAAATGATAACTCCACACTCACACAATAACTCCAGTAAACGAAGAGGTGGAGGCTCCAGCAGCGACTCTGCGAGGTCCAGTCTCTGCTTTAGTGAATGGACTCTTTAAAGAGGGAAATGTAAATAAGGCAACATTGCTTCTATCTCTGTACGGATCCTTTCTGTAACGTTGTGAGACATCAGTGAAAAGTTTTAGTCGACACACTCTGACCAGACCCATTTTTCCTCCAGGACTTTTCTGGAGGGATTACAGTCTGCTTTACAGCTGCAGACTGAAGCAATCTAGAAGATCAATTCTTAAACTTTTTGATCCTATTTGGGATTTCTTCCCCAAAATGTGCAAAACAAATTAAGGCTAGACAAATATTCCCCTTCATTGCACGAGACTGCCACAAGCCATTATATCATTATGTTAGTTGAGGCTGCAGAACGGCCATATGAGTGAAAATAAGGGTACGTTTTAGTCTGCATTATGGTACGTTTGATATCATATTATAAATGGCATAACTAAAGTAATATCCCCTAAAACATACTAAGGCACCAGTAACGTATTCATATATTTTCATTGATTTAAGGGAAAGCTTTTAGTACTCCTCTGATCTGATTTCTTTACCCTTTTTTTCTTTGCACGAGATCGATGCAAAAATTGAATCGGGACCCTCGGCTTCAGGAGGAAATTCAGTGGACAATGAGGGAGCAGAAGGGATTCGGCTGTAACGTGGTTACTGGGAATGGGCTTTGAGGGAGATTTTGAGTGACATCAGAGCAGCGGTACAACTCCATCAATGGGCAAGTCATGATTGATTTCATTGTGGCGAGATGGTGAGGAAGCTGTGCAACGATGGTGAAAGAGAAACACGGAAAAAGTGGAGAGGTTTAAAATGTTGCAGCTGTCCAGAAAACTCCATTTATAAAAAAAAAAAAAAAAAAAAGAGGAGCATTACAGACACATACAGTTTTATCATTTAGGTACTGCAGTATAGTAGTAGATGATTTTGGCATGTGCATGAATGTTACCAAGATTTAAATGAGCTGCGTGCTGCTGCAGCCATCAAAGGTGTGTTGGGTTAAAAAAGATAGTGGAATGTCCCTTTAAGTACACACACACAGAGAAACTCTGAGAAGGTGCGAGAGGAATCAGCCTGCATGGCTCCAGTCCCATGAGTCTGTGTTTGTCCAGTCTCACTCAGGGGTCAGGAGGCTATAACTGATAAACAGTCGTGTCCTCACTGTTTGGGAAGCACCCTGGCACGTTAGCGAGCACTTTCCAAAACTGCAGCTCTGTTAGCCAAAGCGTGACGTTCCTGCTGCTGCGAACAACAACATTCACAGGTTCATGAAAGGAGGGGGGGGGGGGGCAGGCTGAGTGACTCTGCCCTTCAGATGAGGGGAAATTTTGGTCTCTCAAGGCTGCCTGCCAGTTCCTCAATAACTGTTAATAAGTAGGTATGAGAGGATTGTCAGAGTGGTCATTATGTGCTGCCACAGATGGCTGTCCTGTCCACACTGACCGTCTTTGTTCTGTGAATAACTCTTCACACAGCAGCAGTTTCAGCCTCTGTAGGCCTGCAGGAGTGATGTCAGCCTGTGTGTGTGTGTGTGTCTGTGTGTGTGTGTGTGTGTGTGTGTGTGTGTGTATTTCACTGTGCATACATTAGTCCTATAGCTCAGCTGTTTGCGTCCTGCACCAACAAGGCCTCTTGTTCTCGGACGGGGCTATACCGCAGAGTAGGCGCGTGACTCCATTGAAGGAGCAGCACAGATGTACTTCATGCGTCCGAGCTGCTGTAAGTGTGCGCCGTGTTACAGGCTGATCTACTGAACAGGAACATTGTTGTACAATCAGCAACACATCCATCATTCTAACTAGCAGAGAGCGGTGGAAATGATGAGCGGCCATTGTGGCGCTGATGGCTGCGGATTGTCCTCTGTGCCGTCTGAGATGATGCCACTGAGAGCCAGGCTTTGTCAAAAACAATCTTACACACAGAGGCTTAAATAGACGCCATCTGTGTCCCCTCGTCTTCATTTAGAGCCTCTGAAGACAGAAACATGTCGTTGCTGACGCTAACAGGCTGAGAGCTGCTGATGGCATTTCACTCTGTTTGGACTAACTCTGCCAATGTTGTGCCTGTGAGCCTCCCCGCTCTGCAAACCGGAGCAAACATTCAGCTTTATTGATAGCATTTGGCTGATCTTTTTGAATCTGTGAGTGTGTGAGTGTGTGTGTGTTTTGCAAAGCCTCCCCTGACTACAGCAAACAAACATATCTGCAGAGTCTTTTCTGATCTTTTCAGCCAATCCCGGCTCAGCAATGGCCGCTCCAACCTCCCGTGATGCTGTTCACCTGCTTTGGCCTCATGTCCCTGATTCTGTGACTCTTATCTCTGGCTTCCTGCCCTGCCTATGTTCACAGGTTTATATTGCCCTCATTAAATACAGAGCAGCCAAACAGCTCAGTGTTTGTCCTGTCACTTATTCATCATTACGTTGAAAAGAGTGATAGATTCAGACGGGGAGATAAGAGAATGTGGGGAGGGGAA